CCGTATTCACTGTGAGATTTCGAAAATTGATATAAAATTCGAACGTAAACACATTTAAGTTGATGGATCACCGAAAAAGCGACGGCGTCATTTGGCGGCTAAAGGAAAAAATCGAAGAACTCAAAATAGGAAGGTTCAAGATACTTCCTTGAAATGATCTATAAGGGTCATTTATCAAATTGACAGAAGCCTCAGAGGCCCCAGATGCAGACGTATTTTAAACCAATATCAAAGTATTCAGAAACTGAATGGGAATGTCAGTTTTCTGGCTTTGTCAAACGCCTTGTTCACCCACACATCCGGCTTGTTTCGTGCGATAATTTCAAATCGCGCTTTTAATCGACGCTGCGAAATTTTGATGAGAAGTATAAGTAATCTCAAGAGACTATNATTATCCTTTGACTGTCTTCAACAATATTGCCATAGTTATTTATTTATAATCCCCTTAAAATGAAAATACTTATAATATGCAGCTGAACTAGACCGAAGTTACGTTATAAGTTACAATACTGAACATTTCACGACGTGGCGAAGGTATCGCTGCCGCCGGGATTATAGTGAGATTCCTATTTGCTGAGCTCTCCTCGCTTTGTGTAAATCTACCACGAGAGTTGTTTATTTGTTTTCTTGACTTTTTATGAAATATGTTTCCAGTGAATCCCACTAAATCCATTTTAAGAGCCTGCCAACATGCTCGTAGGCCGTCCCTGAAGTCTCTCTTGCATAACGCGCACAAAACAGGGTTTGTCACGGGTGGAATAAAACGGGCAAAGAGTAACAAGCACAGCCTCCACGAGGTGGTGGAAATAATTCTGGCACCAAGGTAATCTTGCAGGATCATGAGAAAGAAAGGGAGCCAACAACCTGCAAACACAACCAGCGTGGAGATCAGAATTACGGTGCCACGCAAATCGCGCGCAATTGATCGCGCGTTGGTAGCTTCGTCTTTTAAGTTCGTGCGACGTGCTCGCAGCGCGAGTAGGTGACGCGTTGAAACCACGATAATATGACCATAGATGCAGAGTATAGAAAGCAAGGGCACTGCGAGAAAAACGACGATGAATAAAATCGAGTAAATTTTGTCTTTTTCCATACTGCCTTTGGTAATTTTGGTTTCAAACCAAGTAAGCTCCACAGTAGCAACCAGAGTCGACATTAGCCAAATCGCGATTAAGGCGCCTCGTACACGACATTTGTTCACGAGCGCTTGGTAGCGCAATGAAAACGTAATCATGATATGGCGATCACAGGCGACAAGCAAAAAATGTAGAACGGTTGAAACGGCGGTGAACCGCATAAATAAAGTGGAAGACACGCACAAAGCTATATGTCCTGCCATAATTGCAACTGAGCAGCCAAAAAACAGTGCAATACCAAACAGTCCTGACAAAAGATCCGATACTGCCAGAGAAGCGAGGATGGTGTTGCTCAAAGTCTGTAAACGCTCTTTACGGCGCATCAAAGCTAGTACAATGCTGTTCAAGATGACGATAAGCGTGGAAACAACAATTAAAGGACCATGTACTGTCCAGGAAAATCTTCCATCACAAGCCGACTGCATCTTGCTGTCTTCCGAGTTGTTGAAGTTGAAAGAACTGCCATTGACGCGAGATGAGTAATTAAAGTTTCCATCTCCGAGAAATTCCATTCCAGCCCTCTTGCTTAAGCAAGTTTTCCGCTTAAAGCATCGGTAACTCTATTTAGTTAATTTTAAATCTAAGCGGTAAATCGCGTACGGTATGAGAGTTGCTTTTTGGAGGTGTTAACTTCAATTTTTTTAAATTTCTATGGGCTTGAACTAGTCTTCACGAAGCCAACTCACCACTTCTAATTCGGCCCACATAAAGACAACATCCGTCTCCGGCGGTTAGCTGTGTTGTCGATCAGTTGAAATAATACGAAACTCTATTTTGGCATTATCAAGCGGTTATACCAGCAACAATATAATACGAGTTCCCGTTAATTCAATTGCAGCTGAATCGAACGCTAGCCATTATTCATCCATCGGAAAGCGCCGACAAGTCTTGTTACCTTAGTGCTTCAAGACACTAATGATGCAAAATAAATTAAAGGAAAAATTCAAATATCCTATGTTAAACAGCCTTTCGAGCTTCCATTCAATTGCCAACGAAATCAATTTACCAAATTATATGTTGTGAGGACAACTATTGTCTCCTTATGAAAGAAATTGCAAAATACAATTAGCGAAGCATATTAATGGCAAAATTTTCCTGGTACATAGCTCCAACCATTTTTGCTTTTCAATTTTAACTATAATTCTGTTTTTTGTCCTTTCTTTTTATCTTTATCAGAAGGTGAAAATTATTTGTGTTAGATTTAATTTCAAGGGACACTTTCGTTGTGATATGGCGTTCTGTAATCAAAAATGAAAGAGGTTACTTTTCACGTGTCGAGACGGTTTACGTGCATTGCACCGCATCACCCACGTAAATTCTCGTACTCTAACAGAAAATAGCTTAACTTTTTAAATTTTTATTAGGCTCACCGAAAAGACGAAATAATCGTCTCTAAATCCTCAAGCTATACTAGATTCAAAACAGAAGCCAAGGAACTTATTAGTGGTTCGTAGAACAGCTGGCTTTTTGAGTGTAATAAAGTGAGCGCAAATGCCCACAACATTTGTGCTCAAGTCATTTTCAGCAAGGAGCGGTCAGAATACTGCGCAACGTTTTTCCTATAAAGAATTCTGATATTAAGTCAGTGCTACAGTTGCTTAAAAAAATGTCAAAAAAGTGCCCACTACTTCATATACGCAACAGCTTCTTGGTAAAATCATAGTCTTTCTGGTTTGTGGTGTGTCGTTTATATGGACTGTGGATCATCTTACCGATTATTCTTGGATTGGCGACAATTTTGACCACTACTTGAATACTTGCGTTAAAAGCTCTCTGTTTATATACGCACACTTTGTAAGGGAATGGCAATTGAAGTGTATTTAAAACGTGCGAAAATTGACTTTGACGCTCTCCCGATTACCAAACTCAGGGTGTTATCACTATTGAGTTTTATTTACCGCAAATGTGACTGAAGAGAGCTCTATCTTGAATAATCTTCTGGAAATTCGACTTATATTTTGTTTTTTATACTGTTTTTTTTTTCTTTATTTTACTCAGGAAATTGAGTAGTTAAAACCATTTTTTTTTGTCCAGATTTTATGAAACGTTTGCCCCGGCCCTCGCCTCCAAAACATAATTTTGAAAAACACTGGTTTTTTTTCATGTGTTTTAATTAACCGTCCCATTTTAACTGACTCATAAATTTCACCGGATATCGTATTTTTCAATCTTTGTTTTTGCCTACAGTTCACCGGAGATAGGATCTACTTCATGAATTTACAATATGTTTAAGAAAGTAGTAAATATTTCTTATGGAATCGAAATGAAATTTTAATTTAAAAAATGACGAAAATTATAATTGCAGCTTGGAATGAAAGTTTATCAAATAAATGGATACTTTACAAAGCCAGAAAAGGGACCGCAAGATACGGAAAATAAATTTTAAAAGATAAATATAGATAACTTTGGAATGTTTAATACAAGAGTTAGTGATAAAAAACCCGACCATGCACTTTGTTTTTCTTGATCTAATTTACTGGCAAGATTTTAAGAACTCTTTTAGGCACTGTAAAAACAGAGTTGGTACGCTTTCAGCTTGGAAATCAAGTCCAATCTCGATTTTGGAATATTTTGTAGGAAGAAATGTTTTGCTTTATCCATTTGAATTATTTTTTATCATAGCTCACTCAGAATTTTCATTTTACCACACTGAATTAATGAGTAAACGTAGATTGTTAGAACCGAACCAAATTTTATTTAAATCCTTTCACTCCTGAGATTACATGTAAAGGAACATTCGTTTTCAGTTTTCTCCATACAAATGATTTAGAAAGTTACGCAACAATGCCATTAGTTCAAGCGGATATCAGGAAGTCAGGAAATGTTAACAAGTTTAACAAAAAATTAACAGGAGCTAGGTTGCCTTCGAATAAGGAGAAGTTTGCATCATTGAATGGCACAATTTCATTGTTTAGATCCAATTTACCTTTCATTCTATTTTGAACTTTTGTTCTTTCTAAGGCATACACCACAATCTCTCTAATAACCAATGCTGGCGCTTATTTTGTTCAGCCATTTTTGAGGGGTTTGGTACTAATGAGGGGACTTATTGGAGATGGGGACTTTTTGAAGAAAAAGGGTGCTTAGTTAAAACTCTAGCGGAAACCCTTGAAAATTCATTTTATCTCATAAGTGCATGGTATAACTGTAACGCACGATTCCCCGGTTTTACAAACTGTTTTTATTAGTTTCTTGTCTTACACTGTAACTTTGCACCCCGACTTTAGGTACGATCAGGAACCGCGAGGCATGTTTTTTAATTGGTGGGGCTTAACTGGTGCTTTGCACGAGCTTATCTAGGGGACAATTCCGGGTATATTGTGCCCCGGAAAATTTTGAAATTTAGAGCTTCTGAAATCATCGGAAACGCGTTTAATTCTATCAACCACGAGAAATTTTGTTAAATTATCTTACCGCCAGTCTGAAATTTTTCTGCAACAAAACGTTCATTTAACAAAGAACTGTTTGCTTTAACACAAAAATTAGAAGTCCATTTGTTTATGTAAAAAAAGGAGAGGGGGAGGGGGAGAGGTGGGAGGGGAGGGGGAAGGAGAGAGAAGAAAAGAAAAAAAATCCTGGTAAAATTATTGGTGGGGCTTAAGCCCACCCAGCCATAGTTTCGCCGTTCTTGATGGTTTTCATTTAGTGACTGTTTAGAAGAGGGGTCCCTTATTAGAAGAGTTGCTTATTAGAAAGGGCCTGGGCTTGTGGATATTTTAATGTTTAAGATGGGGATTGGGGCTTTTATATAGAAAGGATTGGCTTATTGGAGAGATTACAGCATTGGTTTGTTAAAGCGTAGTTGGGTCTAAAAATTATGACATCAAGAGTATTCGATAATTAGTTCTAGTCTTGCAGTTTCAGCTAACCAGTTTTTACGAGACAGTGCGATATAATATTTTCTCTGGCCTTTGACCTTGTGAAGCAGAAATCATCTTTATTCAGAAGCAACTTGCAGCGGTTTCGTAACAGGGGCTCGGTAACGAGACCCACCAGAGAGGCCGTGAATGTGCCTCCTCCCAAAGCCACAACGAGGTACCCCATAGCAAATTCTTTATAGCGACCTTCAAACTTTTCCCTGAGGAACGATAAAGCGTTGACGAAAAGGACACCGATAGTTAAACCTCCGGTAAATGACAGGAATAATACGATCCAAACATTTGGTAGAAAGCGATACCAGGCTGCTAAGATGAAGAACATAAGGTGCATCACTTCAATTGCCGACAGAACCCATAGATACGGGAACTTAGCTTTCTCGGCCCAGTTCGCATTGATGTAGGTTAAAACCACAAGATAGGACCTTCCCACGACCTCACCTCCCAGGAACACAAAGATGTAGTATTGATAGTGGTCACGTGGTCTGAAGGGGGCGTTGGGAAATGCTAGTGTTGTCAAGACGGCTTGAATGATCAGATATTCTGAGAACCATGCGATGTAAAGGGGTGTCAGGTTTGACAGCATCTGAAAGATGACCATAAACTTTTCACGATAAGTGAGAGGAGCATCTTCAGTGCTGGGGTCTTCTTCTTCGTTGGTGGTTGATCCAGTTGTATCTTCTGTGAGAATATATAGTACGTACAATTAACTTTCTTTTAAGCGTTTCACTCCCAGAGTAAATGGTGAAGGTACGCAAGATGGTTATTACTTTTGATTCTGTGGATGAAATCCTGCGGTGTGTCCATACGATAAAATTAAAAAACCTCTTTGGGGGTAATTCTCATGGTACCATTTATTTACTGATGCAGTTCTACTTTTTGAGTCTGTGGATGAAATCCTTTGGTGTGACCATTCAAATGAAACCTCTCATTTCAGCAGTACTTTCACATTGTACTACAGTGTTTAATGTAGTTCTAACTTTTGAGTCTGTGGATAAAATCCTATTGTGTGATTATTCAAATGAAACCTCTTAAGTAGTAACTTTCAGGTGCTACTGTATATTTAGCATGTGGTTCTAACTTTTGTGTCTGTGGATGAAATCCTATGGTGTTACCATTCAAATAAAACCTCTTCAGCAGTACTTTCACATGGTACTATTTATTTAGCATGTAGTTCTAACTTTTGAGTCTGTGGATGAAATCCTATGGTGTTACCATTCAAATGAAACCTCTTCAGCAGTACTTTCAGGTTCTACTATATATTTTGTATGTAGTTCTAACTTTTGTGTCTGTGGATGAAATCCTATGGTGTTACCATTCAAATAAAACCTCTTCAGCAGTACTTTCACATGGTACTATTTATTTAGTATGTTTTTCTAACTTTCGAGTCTGTGGATGAAATCCTTTGGTGTGACCATTCAAATGAAACCTCTTCAGCAGTACTTTCAGGTTCTACTATATATTTTGTATGTAGTTCTAACTTCTGAGTCTGTGCATGAAATCCTATGGTGTGACCATTCAAATGAAACCTCTTCAGCAGTACTTTCAGGTTCTACTATATATTTTGTATGTAGTTCTAACTTTTGTGTCTGTGGATGAAATCCTATGGTGTTACCATTCAAATAAAACCTCTTCAGCAGTACTTTCACATGGTACTATTTATTTAGTATGTTTTTCTAACTTTCGAGTCTGTGGATGAAATCCTATGGTGTGACCATTCAAATGAAACCTCTTCAGCAGTACTTTCAGGTTCTACTATATATTTTGTATGTAGTTCTAACTTCTGAGTCTGTGCATGAAATCCTATGGTGTGACCATTCAAATGAAACCTCTTCAGCAGTATTTTCACATGGTACTATGTATTTTTAACTTTTGAGTCTGTGGACGAGATGTTATGGTCGGTGACCATTAATCAAATAAAATCTCTTTACCATTGCTTTCACAGGTGCAATTTGTCTTTCAGCATTTCTTTTTTTCGTATTTAACATGCCTCTCTATAAAGGACAGCTAGAGTTGGTTCCTACCGTTCTCCAGTCATTTTATTTGCTTATCTTTAAGACGACCCTTCTTATAGAGGGAGCAGTGTTGAATTCACACAGAATAAAAACACATGTCATGGGCTTATCAGTCGGTTTTTTGGTCACAACAGAAAATAAAACAATAAAATTTATAGGGCTTACCCTTAGTCACCAAAGCGGTGTACTCTCACCTGTTGTCATTTTCACTGGTCGGTGGTGGAATTGGAGACTTAAGGTGTTTCTTGTCCATGGCATAATAGCAGACGAAAATCAGAAGCAGCATGGCTGCCATGATCAAAATTGTGGCGCTTGGTGATACACAGGCCCAGGTTGTCATGGCTACAAAAACGAACAGTTGCTTAGCAATAAAGGTATGTGTTTGAGATGAAAAAAGTATAAATAACAGGAGATATAATCACCGAGCATCCCCTACCACACACACAATCGAGGCTTGACAATATTGTGTTGTAGGCTATTTTGACTCATTTTTTACGCTAGTGACTCAGCACTCTTAGCCAATCACAGCAGAGCAAGACTAGCCAAACAACAAGTAGTTAGTATTAGCTAAGAGAGTGTTTCAGGAACCTTGCTGGAAGCCTTTCTCTAGAAGACCAACGGCCAAATTGGTTAGTGCGGGATTTTATAAACTCAGCTAATTCTAGCGAACCCAGAAGTATTTCCAGTCGTCATCTCTCTCCACCCGGAGAGAAGTGACGGCTGGAAATACGTCTGCGTTCGCAGCCAAACGCAGCCTCGTCTCCGGGACATCTCGGTTTTGGTTCCATTTTCCAGTAATATCCTGGACTTCTAACATCATTTCATTGCAGATCGCAAACGTCTTCTAAATTTGGTCAACGCTAGCTAGTTATGAAGAATTAGCTGAGGACTTGAGGCAATCAGAAACGGAAAAAAGATTTTGAATGAATGATAATTACTATTAATGCACATTTCCATTGTTGTGAGCACGCTATGAGAGACTTTAGCTTCATGTTTTTCATGGTCAACCAGAGAATGTCACGTGACCACAGTCTTGCGCTTCCAGTTCACGTTTGCACTGCAGGAAGAGCTTCCAGCGGTAATTATAAGTGATTTACGGCAAGGTTTTTCGGCGGCATTAAAAATTGTACACGCGCTTTAAAGGCAAAAGATAAGTTTCTACACACGCCTGTGATGTGCCAGTTAGATTTTTGAACTCGAATGAATGAATGAATTCTTCATGTTTTTCAGGCGATATACCGTACATCGCCTATAAGACCCTATAACCGGTAAGTGAACTACGGAGACTTGACTAAAAACAACATGGCAGTCTTATATACAACAAACGCTTTGTTAAAATTCGAAATCCTGACAGCGTAAAACTGTAAAAGTGTACTGCATGTCGCGGTTTGGCGGTTTCCCAAGAAAAAAAGTGATAATAAAGGTTTCTATTATTTTCAATCAATGGAAGTTCAAGAAGAGCAATGAAGTGGAACAGGAGCTTCGTTAAAAAGTAATAATTATCTACTGCTCCACTCTGGTTCAAGACCTTTTGTTTCCAAAACAGTGAAGCTGAGATATCCTGTAACAGGGGAAAATTAGTCGTTTCTTGACGTTTTTTAAAATCATCGTTTAGAAAGTATCTAGTGCTATGTTCGATTGGTGACGAAATGGGAAGGGTTTCTCTATCTTGTCTAGACTTTTTTGCATTCAAAATGGCTGTCATTTATTTGACTGTTAGTTATTTGAAAAAGAAATGATTAATTTCTTTTCCGTCGCTTTTGAGCTCACTTTAAAAGCATTCATATTGAAAAGGAGAATGCACTGAATTTGAATGTTAACTAGAGCACCTGTTCCCAAATGATCTCCCATGCACTTCAAATCTTACGGTCTTTTGACAAATAGCTATCCGTAGATGCATCTAAATATGAAATTAGTTATAAAATTAGAACAAGAGCTTCTAGACTGAGATGGTTTGTTTAAAGACGACAAGATATTTATGCCTCATTATTTTACTGATTGACTGGTCAAACTGTTCTTAGACTCAAGGAAAAAAAACTGTTATACTAGACTTACCTGTGTAATATAAGGGAGCTATCATAAAACCAACTCCAGTTCCAGCTGAATAAGCACTTAATGTTACTTCGTGATAAAACGAGGTGAGCGCTAGAAATGTAACTTCACTGACTCCAAAACCGAACGACGTCATACCTACACCAATTAATTTCCAATGAACCTGTCGGGCGAATGCGATGATCAGTAAACCAGTAATTCCAGAAAAGAAAACTGTCGTGATGCGGACAAAATACGGTATTTTTTGCATGAAGTAAGGGGCGATTAATGAAACAGCAAAATACGGTGCTATGTCCGCCACAAGGACCATGGAAGTTTGAATAAATGTTCCGGCTAAAATATCTTGAGCGCCAGCAATAACAAGGGAGTATGAAGCGTACATTAAAGCTCCAAAGACGAAAAACGCGGCCACCGTGCGGAAACGCTCACGTTCATGTTGATTTGGTTTAAAGCCGCCGTCGTCAGTGAATCGTGCCAAAGTCTTTTTGCTGCCTTCTTCCATCTCTTTCCAGGATTAGAGTCAGCCGGTATTTTACTGTGTGTATTGGTCTTGCGTTTTAATAATTTCCCTCCATGTAGTTGTCGATTTGGCTTTCAAACTAAATCAGCTGTTCCTAGACTTCATCTTCATCAGTATGTTAAATTTTCTTCTTATTCTTTGCTTGTAACCATAAGTACTGAATCGAGGTTTAAACCATTTTCTGAGTTGTTTTTGCCTGAATAATGGTACGAATTACCATTCCCGCACAAGCAAACTTTGGCAATCAAGTGAGCTGTACCCTGCAGCGGGGAAGGAGCAAACGAATTATTGATGAGGTTTTGATTGCTTGCAGCACTCATCAAGAAATAAAAATTTGCATTTCCTTTGTTCAGTATACGACTCTGCTCCAACCTTTCGTTTGAATTACTTTTGCAAATGCTCTTTTTGTCTTCGAGATGTTTACGGTTCGGGGCACATATAAAACTTTTATTGGTTAACGACTTAAACGATTACACCGGCACTTCTGATCACACTTTTGTATTCATACAACTATGGAGCGAAACACTCCATTTAATACTGAGCAAAATAAAATCAATCATAGGCCCTTAACTGGCGGAAACAAATAGCAACATTTTAAGCCCAACTTTCGTATTTGAATGACGATTAAAATTTAAAAAAGGCTTTTGGATTTTTAAAAATCTTAACTATAACTCTCTGTTGGACAATAAAAGCATGTTCGATGCGACATAATCTTTGGTACTCAGTCGGTCAAACGAATCTGAAGAATTTCCAAATGGATGATTGTCCGCGTAAGACATGGTAAGACTGAGCACAAAAGACATCTTATTCAAATGAGTAAACGAAAAGGACCTCCGTAGAAAAACACATGCTAATTACCGTGCTACGGTTGGCGTTCTGCTTCCTTTTGGCTCACCGTTCGTTTCGACACAAACGTTTGTATCGATTCAAGCTGATAATTCGTGCAGTCAAGTGTAAATAGTTGCGCGTAGTTGGCTAAAAGAAAGAAGAATATTTACGCAAAATGTTTCTCTTCCGTTTTTATTGGCCCACTCAAGAAAGGATAAAGTTCCTCTCTTGTTAGTTACAACCGAAATTTCTATGAGGTTCGTATCAAAACGACCGGTTTCACCAGATTGTTAAAAGCCGTTTATTCTTCTAGTTTAAAATTCAAGAATAGAAAATAGAATATTTAACCTCTCGCTGGTCGTGAGTCCTCATGCCAGGACAACTTTTACTGAACTAGCTTACTCAGGCTATTCGTGGCATGGAGTCAGGGGTAAAATGACGTTGTGGAGAGGGGGGGAGTGGGGGTGGATAAAGAGGAGTCGATCTTGAATTGTTTTTGTCTTTGTAAGAGAAGGTTTTATCACTGTTGTTGGTAAGAAATAAAAATTATATGTGCATTCGACTGTATATAGAATATGTAATAAATGTCTGCGGCTGCTATTATACATACCGTAGAAAAAACAAAAAATACCCGATGTCTAACTGAAATGCCCCATATCTTACTAACGGCCCCTTAGAATTTCAGTTTTGTTAAAAACGGGCATCTCCAAAAATTCTTCCCCCTAAAAAAATTGAACTAAATGGAGCATCATTTATTCAGACATTGATTACGTTTATGGAAGTCAACCGATAGTCATCAAATTTACGACGATCAAGAACCTCAATCGACATTAAAACTACTACAGTACACTCTTTTTATTCCTTTTCTTTTTTTAATAACATCATTAATAGTAATCCTGAAGTTACAGTTGTATCTCACCATACGTTGGCATACGCCCTCTTAAAATCGACGTAAATTATGATGCTCCGGGTTTTTTATTAGGTCAGTAACACTGCTCGGAAGAAGCTGCCTCGTACCCAGACGTCTCTCTCTCGATGAAAATATGCGCGCAAAGGAAGGCGGGAAGAAGACAACAGGCTTCGCCTGCCGTCTGTACCCTTCCCATGGTCCCTTGCGGCTCATCACCAGTCTCTCGCGTTTCGCGCTCGCCTCTGCCATGCGAAAAACCGTGAAGCGCCTGAGAAGCAGGCTGTCTGAAGAAGTGAAACCGCGAAACTGATAGGACTTCCAGCAATATGAAAGAGATCTTTTAAGCAACTTTTGTGCCATTGGTCCTACTGAATGTAAGGTAACCACATTTTTTGTTTTGGTTTTTTAACTGGGGATTTCAACATGGAAGCTGTTGTCTACATGACATGATGAGGTGAGGCGATCGCTGGAACTTGATCTCGTAAAACAGACACCACTGTTATTCAGGATCATGGTGCAGTGTTCTCGTAATATTGGCTCGATGTAGAGGCCAAGAAGTGCTGCGGCAAGTACACCTGCAGTTATAGCCACTATTAAGTACCCCATGGCGAACTCCTTTTCAAGTCCTCAAACTTTACTTTGAAAAACGCTACTGCATTGACGTAGAAAACACCGACGCCGGCTCCGCAGGAAAACGATAACAGTAAAATGATCCAAACGCTGGGTAAAAAGCGATACCAGACAGCCAGGATAAAGAATAGAAGGTGAAAAACTTGGATGATCGCCAAACCCCATAGACAAGGGACCTTAGCTTTTTCAGCCCAGTCAGCTTTGATATATGACAAGATAACGAGATAGGACCTTCCAACCACCTCGCCTCCCGTGAGCGCAAATATATAGTACTGATAATGGTCACGTGCACTAAACGGAGCGTTTGGAAATGCTAGTGTTGTGACGACAGACACATAAATGAGATATTCTGAGAACCAGGCAATATAAATTGTTATTAAATCAGGCAGCATCTTCCATACAACAGCAAATTTTTCTTGAACTGAAAGGCGGTAGTCTCTTGGATTATTTTTGTCATCTCTTTGACTGTCCAATTCTTCACATTCATACTCTGTTGAAGGATTGGAAAATTATGTTATGGTTTACCAGATTAAACTACACTTAAACACCAGTTCAACCAAATTAACCCAGTTTCATATTCACAGAAAATGACTGGCCAAAAGACCGGGTAATATTGTGATAAACATTTCCCCTATTCCATTCCGGCAAAAAATGGGTAATATCAAATCGAGTGTCAAAGACAACGGACAGTCTGACGATATAATCTAATGATATCCCTCGAGGTATATCATGCGGGGAAGGATCTAGAAAAACTGAACGATTTTCCAGCTGCAGTGGTCTTTTCAATTAGCGACAAATATACTCTGAGAGCGTTTAAATGCAAAAAGGCTCTAGAGGACAGATCACAAAGAATTCTTTACGACTGTTTTAACACAATTTCAGAAAAAAGATGTGGAGGCCATGCCCCCGGTCTCTTTAGCCCCCTCGGCCCCTTCAGCCCCCTCGGTCCCTGTCTAGATCAGCTCTTGTAAATCACCTCATTAGCATTATATTAGCAAGTTCAGTATTTCATAGCTACCTTTATTAGCGTCCAGTGCAGTGTACTCTACCCCGGCGTGTTTGTCACTTGAGGGACTGGGAGACTTCACGTGTTTCTTGTCCATAATGTAATAACAGGCAGGAATGAGAAGGGAGACGACTGCCATGATTACAATCGCGATCTGAGGTGACACACACGCCCATGTTGTCAAGGCTACAGATAGCAATGGAACACCGGTTAGTAAAATCATACTGATTGCGCATAAGCACATATATACTGTATCGACTGATTCTAGTCCTAGCAGTACGCAGGACGTTTTTCACGTGAACCTAGTTTACGGCCTCAGCTCCCTAGACACACAACCATATAGTCAAAGCTACAGAGAACACTGGAAAGTTTGTTAAAAAAACATGATCATTACGCATAAACGCATATCGACTGATTCAAGTCTTAGCAGTACGCATGATGTTTGTCACATGAACCTAGTTTAGTAACCTTGGCTCCCACAGCTCTCCTTTGGCTCAGTGGTAGAGCAGCTGTGGCCCGTTTCTCGAAAGTCGCGATAATTAACGGGCCCGTTAAGTTGTTGTTGTTTACATGCAAGACAGAGGTTTCAATAGTCCTGCATATAACATGATAAAACTACCAGTTAATGAAACAAAATGGAGCAGTTTGTTAGCCAGGATCTGCGCTCTAATTCTTCATATTTCGATTTGAAATTTGATTTAGGGCCCGAAACGTTACCGGGACCTTTCGAGAAACGGGCCCCTGGACTAGTAACTAGAAGTTTATTAGGTTCGACTCCTGTTAGGGGCACTCGCATTTGTTCTTCCGAGGGGCCTGTATGATTCCTGTATCAATAGGCGTTTTTAGATCTAACCCCGCTTTACCGGGACATTTAGCTTTGGAAATTTTTGCACCCCCGCTGCTGTTAACAACCTCAATTTCCAATGAATTTAGCCTCCCAGGCAGACGTACGAACGTGGGGCAGGAACGCGTGACGAACCCCTAAGAACGTCTGCGAGGGAGGCTACAATGAATGAGGATCGTCATTTTTCCGTTGGCCGCGATGACAACATCCTTGCACGATCCACGCTAAATCTGTATGGCCTGCACTCGGTCGACCCACATATTCATCCTTTTTTCGCCCATTTCTTTTCTCCCACTGTCTTTTAAATGTTGAATATGAGACAATCGGGGCACAGAAACGAGAGTTTTTGTCCAAGAAATGCTACTGCTGTCCGACACTCTCTCAGAGCCGGACGCCATATTGGATTTCTGTTTACCTATTTCAGACCACGTGACCAGGTACGGCTAAAAACCTCTATTGACTGCCGGAAAGCTTTGTATACAAACGCTACATAAGACTATATGGGCAAAGCATTGAATTTGACTTTTAAGCGGTACCAGAAACTCTTAGTAACACCATGAACGCTACAATGTGTACCTCACCTCAGGCTACTTCAAGTCATGACGACACGCGCTCTAATAATATATATTAATTTCTAGATCTTACCTGTGTAGTAGAAGGGTGTTATCACATAACCTACTCCTGTTCCAGCGGAAAATGCAGTCAAGGCGACTTCATGATAAAAAGAAGTTAAACCCAAAACTGTCATCTCACTCATGCTGTAGCCCACTGAAGCTATTCCTAAGCCTATTAATTTCCAATAAACTTGTCCGGCTAGAGCAAGAATTAGTAGACTACAGGGTAATGCCAAACCAAGCGTGATAAACCGAGCAAAGTATGAAATTTTCTGCACGAAATAAGGTGCAATTAAAGTGAAAACAAAACTCGGCAATATACACGCAATTAGAACCATGGAAGATTGAATATATGTACCAGCTAAGATATCTTGAGCAGCAGTAATGAATAAGGAGAAACCATTGTAAATTAATGTTCCAAATGCGAAGAATGCCATCACCGTGCGCAAATTTTCGTGATCCTGTTGATCACTCTTGCCAGATTCTGACATTGTTTTTCTCTCACGGGCCTGGCTATGGGCTATATTTCAAACTTTGCAATAGTGGTGTACGTGTGCTTTCACTTTGAGCAGGGCTCAGAATCAGCTCAGTGTCTTTATACAGTTCTTGCTCATGTCACAGTATACTCTTCAAGTGCTGACCACTGATTGCGTCGGGCTTCTGGTTAACGATTCACTGACAATACTCTTGTGAAGGGTGGCTTGGGGTTTGCGATTCTTCTGATAAAATCGCTCAGGGGGCTGGAAGATGAAAATCACAAGTCACAAGGAAATTGATTGAGGTTTGTGGGTGAGGAGACTCTTCACCTTTTTGGCTGCTAGGCTGTCAGTGTGAATGTCTTGTTTCCCTGGAAAGAAAATCATTGGGGCGCAAAGTTATATGGAAATGAAGAGACCAGAAAACAAAAATAAAGCAATTAAGAAAAAGCATGACCCAGAACATAACCTGAAAACTTTGCATAAGAACAAAGGGCTGTTGATTGTGCGTGTAGGCAAATTGAAGAATTCAACTACAGTAAAAACCCGCGTATAAGAACCTAGGTTTTTCCAAGTTAGCCTAAACAGGTTCTTATATAAATGGTATTTAGTGTAAAATTAGGCTAACTAGGTTCTTAATTAGATTCTTAACTTTTGTTCAAGAAATAAAGCTGAATTTTTAAATGATCTGGTGTTTAATGTCCAAAAACAGTATTCTTGGAGGCTTCGTTAAGCAAAATACTATACTATTTTAATCTGATTCTGTTACAATCAAACCTATGGTAAAGTTTTATGTAACCATGCTATAGTGTTTAGAGTATTATTGCATACAGACTGTGTTATATATATATATATATATTTTTTTTTTTTTGAAAATAAGAACCTGTTTTAGGATTTTAGCCTAAAATGGTTCTTATGTGAGGGGTGCTTAAAAATGAAATTTTAGCCTAACAGGTTCTTATACGCGGGTTTTTACTGTATATATATATATATATATATATATATTTTTTTTTTTTTGAAAATAAGAACCTGTTTTAGCATTTTAGCCTAAAATGGTTCTTATGTGAAGGGTGCTTAAAAATGAAATTTTAGCCTAACAGGTTCTTAAATGTTAGGTTCTTATACGCGGGTTTTTACTGTAACACAAACGTTTGGTAGAAACCCTTTCTCAACAATACACAACTAGACCATACAAATATCTGACGTTTGACAACAAAGTGAGCATTTAACGTGGGATGCTTTTTTTTACAATATCCGACGACACGATGTTGCTTTAAAGAAGTAATCTTCATTCAATTTACAGGCTATTATACGAAATTCTTAGAAGGAAAAAACAATGACCGATCCGCTAGGGATCGCTTTTTTCATGCATGTCCAGTTATAAACATAATTCTTAACACTCTCTTTTCAAGTTATTAAAATGCATCTCTGTACACGAAAAGATCGTAAATAATACCGCCGAGTAGGTTAATCTCTGAAACTTTGACCCGGTATCACCGAAGTATCTAGTAAGACTTCTTAAAAGAAATCGAAATTTAACGAAGAATGTATGACACCCAGTGTTGTTGCTATTTCGCTAGATATTTCTGACAGTGAGCTAACAAGGGACAAATTTCTCGAGTTGACCAGCTCTTTCAACATTTAAAATTAGGGAGCTTAAGCAACGACGACAGCGACGACAAGGAGAATGGCAAAAAAGTAGGTTTAGATTGGCAAAACAACAGCTTTGCATTTTTGTACATTTCTTTGTCATCGTTGCACACAACGCATCGTTGCACACAACGCATCGTTGCACACAACGCATCGTTGCACACAACGCATCGTTGCACACAACGCATCGTTGCACACAACGTGAAACTCCTATTTTCACGTATTGTGGAGGACGTGAACACAAAACGACAATTTCTTTTTCTTTTCCTAAACTTCGATACAGTCCTTCAGTATTCAATTCTAGAAAATTCGCCATTATTTGTCGAATTGAACGAGATGAAATTAAAGCGATAAAGTTTATAAACGTGCGAAATCTTTTTTTTGAGACGTTTTTGTAGCCTTTGTTGTCGTTGTTGCTTTGACGGCAACGTCATATAAGGTAAAAAAGCAATAGTTTTAGTTAGCAAAACAACAACTCTGCACGTCCATCGCGTTTTTTTGTACATTTCTTTGCCGTCCCTGCACAACCACGACGTGAAATGGCTTAATTTTAAGTTTTTTTGAGGACGGAAACGGCAAGTCGATAAATTCTACCACCTCTGTCTAAACTCGTGGGCGCGGCCCCTTCTCTTTTGTTCCAACCTAACTTCCCTTAGCTTTTTTTAAGTGACAGGATGACTTGGGAAAATCGCGAAATGGTTTGAAAGGATGCGTAGTCTATTTTTCAGTGACATTTTCATAGAGGAAGCCGTTGTAGGGTCGCTATTAGGCTGATTTAGCAACAGGACGTGAACGTCACAGTTGACGACGCGAAAGCCCGTGGAAAGGACTAAACACGACTTCCGGTGTCCAATTTGCCCCTCTGCTATTGGTCAAGCCAGTTGTTTGATTTGCGCGCGCCGTCGTCAACCGACGCTCCCGTTCTAAATCAGCCTAATCTGCGACGCCTTCTATACATTGGCGTATTCGCTAATGAAGACTATGAAGAGATGACGCCAGTCCTTTACGGTGTGATTTTCTGATAAGGGAAGGAGGTGGATCGTAAGCACAGGATGATAAGCAGTTCAGTTAAGCCAAAATAAGGTACAGGATCTCAAGTATTTTCGCAACTGGTTGTAGTTTTGTTCTAATGCATCGTTTTCTCAAGTATGGAAACAATAGGGCCATTTATACGAGGAAAAATAAGACGCGTTTTTCATTAGACGCGTCCTAGATAAGACGCAGACTATCTCGTATAAAGGGCACATTAAGACGCGTCTTAGCTAAATTTTAAACAAAATGTGCCACGTTTATACGGAATAGTTTGCCTCTTATTTAGAACACGTCTTATGTAAGACGGGTGTTATTTTTCCTCGTATATACGGCCCTAATGACAGCTCACGCGTAGTAGAGAAATTCTATTTTAGATTGTGACGTAAGTCAAGTAGAAGTTGCGTAAATGAAAGTGTTGATAACCTATATCCCTCACTCTGAGGAACATTTTCAGTTATTTTGTACAAACTAACCATCACCAAGATGTGCTTTCTGCAAAAGCACGCCTTAAAAGGACAGCAGGACTTCGTCACTTCGATGTTCTATTATCCAGGCCGTTTCACTGAATTGTTTTCCTAGGAAGAGGAATACGGCGAAAAGGCTGGCTATTTTATAACGTTGAGTATTATCTGTAATTTATTGTGTTTTGTGGAGACAGTCAGTATGCATCTCATGCTGCCTGTGTGTTACTTGCATTTCATTTATTATGGAACCAGTCAAGTCATAAAAGGAAGTCTTGAAATTAAGTTGAAGTTGAAGCCGTCCGTTAGTTGACTTCGTCCATCCAGTTGCAAACTTCCTGCTATCAATCATTCATTCGTTGATATATCACTCTTTTTTGGATAACCCTTTGAGACATTCTCAGACCGAACTTGCTTCAAAAACCAGAAATTACAAACAGGAAAAATAGACGATTCGAAGGTAACC